GGAGGAAGTACCGCAGCTTGATGTGCTTTGCTCTGCTCTCCAGTCGAGGCTCCTGACACAGGAGGGTCATGACCATGTTGTCAGCGTACAGGGCCATGGTAGAGCTAGGCCGCTCACCTAAGTCTGTGAGCAAGTAGGTCAGCCAGCGGAGCTCCCCTGCCGCCATGGCACTTGCGTATATCTTAGCCTCACAGCTAGACTGGGCAACAAACGACGAGCGGGTGGACCTCCACGAGATGGCACCTGCACCAAGGCTAAAGGAGTAGCCCTGGGAGGACCTTGAGAGTCTAAGCGTCGTCTGCTCACGAAGCATCTGTGTGCCCTGTAAGGACCACTGACCTGCGTCCTCTTAGCACTAGCCCCATGCCCGATGTACTTGCGAGATAACGCAAAACCCTCTTAGCGGCCGACCAGTGCTGCGGTCGGTGTCTGCCTGTGGCCACAAAACGAGCCAGGATGCTGAGAGGGTATGCGAGAACTGGACGAGTGCAAGTCATCAGGTACATGAGGCAACCCACCAGCTCTGCGTAAGGACCAATAGGCTCTACAGACTCCACAGGGACTGGAGCCGAGAGCCTGTGATCTACTGGCAAAGATGTGGGCTGTGCGGAGGAGAACTGAAGGCCGAACCTCTTAAGGACCTTGCGCACCAAGTGTGACTGGTGAGAGTGATGGTGCATGCTGCTCTGTCCCTGGAGATCTGCAGGCCAAGGTAGTGGCGCAGCTCTCCTAATTCAGTGCAGGTGTGTCTCTTCAGCAGCTCGGCCTTCACAGAGGCTAGTGCGTCTCTGTCTGCTGTGGCGAAGACTAGACCGGCTACGTATACAAGGATGTAGAACAGTGTCTGGCCTGAACGAACGAAGAGCGAAGAGTCTGTAGAGGACGGGAAGAACTGCAGTTCAGCTAACGTAACGCGAAGAGTGTCGTGCCATTCTCGAGGCGCCTGCCGCAGGCCATAAACCGCACGCCGGAGGAGCCACTGGGTTCCCAGGGCAAATGTGCTGGTGAAGCCTTACGGGCGACGCAGGTAGACCTGCTTGTGCAGATTGCACTGAAGAAACTTTGTCGAGAAGTCGAGAGAGTGCAGCTCGGAGTCGATAGAGTGCAGCAGCGCACAAAGAGTGGTCATCTTCGGGGTCGGGGCGAAGGTCTGAAAGAAGTCAACACCATCACGCTGACTGAAGCCTCTAGCAACGTAGCGCGCCTTGAACACCGGCGGCTCTCCAGGAGGGCGCTTCAGCTTGAAGAGCCACCGGCCATCGACTACGTTCACCCCAGGTGAGGGAACTGCGTAGAGTAGGTGCCCGTGGATCTCCGAGATGCCATCTCCGCATCCATGGCAGCTATCCACTGAGAGGCCCAGAGTCTCGAGGTCGCCTCAGCGTAAGTGCGAGGGGTCGGGATGTCAAAGGCGTCTGGGTCACCCTCAGGGACTAGCAGCATGGAACAGAGATGAGGTGCGGCCTCCGACAGGAAAGCAAGCTTGTACTGCCGGTCCTCAAGGACGTCACTGCCAAGGGCAGAAACACTCCCGACGGACGGAGGACGGGCAGGGTCACAGACCTGAGCGGTGGCGTAGTCAAGGCGGCGGGAAGAGGCAAAGTCAGTGACGGCAGCGACAAAAGCGTCAAGATTGGAGACAGGAACAGACGGGTCGGTAACAAGAGAGGCAAGGACCCGAGGAACTAGAGGACTAACGGCATGGAGGAAGATAGCGGGCACCTCTCCAGCTGTAAAAATCGGCTCCTTCTTCAACGAAAATGTCGGAACTTCACCCATGACTTAGCAAATACCGCAACCCCGCTTCACAGCTGCATGTGATTTACAGCTGCACGTGCTTCACGGCTACCCGTAAAACACTGACGCGTCGTCCTTTTAGCTGCACCCCCATCGGTCCTTCACTAGGTGTACGGATAAACCGAACCCTTTAATCCAGGGTACTCATCGTTCACCGCCTGGGCATCGGTCTTCGGCCGTCGATCATGGCTGGCGAGCATCATACGCCGTCGATCTCCTCACAGCTGTAGCCCAAACTCATAAAATTCTCTGGTACCCCTGACTTTCAGGTGCTTGACAGCTGCACCGCTGGTTTTCAAAGAATTCCCCATCTGGCCCCATGCGTTTAGCAGCGCGACGTTCACCCATCATTGCGCCCACCATGACACCAACACAGGTCCTAGGTATTATCGCGCGTCAAAGTAGCCCGCGTAATCAGGGTCAACTCCCTTCCGCTTAGCCGCACTCTGAAAACTTTGGAAACAGTGTCAAGCTCCTCCAACTGTAACCAAACTCTTAAAGTACTCTGATACCCCTGACCAGCTTACCGTGCATACGTTCACCCATCTCGCGGTTGCTGCAGGTTACCCAAAAATCGCTTCGTTGCTGCTTAACAAACTCCTCTAAAACCTGCGCTGTCAGAGGCGTGGAGGGCACACGACAAAGTTGGCTGGACTAAAGAAGTCCCTGCACGACCGCTGGACACCTCCTGCCTCCCGACGTGCAAGGGTGAGACACTCGGAACCTTACACCCGCAAAAGTCGTAAACTCCTTCTGCTGCACTAGGTGAAACCCTCAGCTCCACTGCAACAGTAACTCCTAAATTTCATGGACACCCCTCAGCACAGTATAGAGTGCAGGTTCACTCCCCTTTCGCCAAGTGTGGACGACCCATAGTCGACACTACAACTTGGTGGGAATGGTGATGTTCGGGCTACGAAGCTTAGTCGGCAGGGGATTTGTTGATGCCTGACGTTTAACTAAAACCCAGCTTCTTCCAGTCAGTTTACTTCAACTGCTTCAGCTCTAGATGGTTTGACGCTTGCGGCGCCACGATGGAAAACACTTAATACACACCCTGAGGTGGTGGCCTCCGTTTCCGTTGATCGTGGGGGTATGAACGGTGCTCCACGAAAACGCCTCTCCAATTCAGGAAGTCGGCCTCGCTGTAAAGATTCCATGGTAGCTTCATCCTCCATGTGAGACAGCCCATGCAGAACAACGCCGAGGTGGTTAGCCTCGTTCTGCTGCTGTCTGGCTCACCCACTCGTGTGACTGTGCGATCGTGGCAGTCCGGAATAATCGCAGCCACCCCTTGCCGAAATAGTCGCGGTAGTCCCATCCATCGCCTGCAACTAGCCTGACAGAAACGCCGACGCCAGCAAGCTGCGGTGTGATCGGGACGGTCGCACACGGTGCCGCGACGGGGACCGGTATGGAACTGGTACTGGCAGGTCACTGCACTGAAACCGCCACCCGACATCGAGCTGCGCACGCTGCCACCGTGACCGCCGCCACCAAGGACGCTAGACCACCGCGGCGGCGGAGGTCCCCACGGCTGCTGCTGCGACTGCTGCTGCTGATGCGGCGGTGGCTGCTGCTGCTGCTACGTCGGGGAATCAGCCCCGGTCCCCTCGTCGGCACCACCAGTACTCGCACCACCTCCGCCACCGCTGCCGAGCGCCCCCTACCTTGACGAGACTGCGCGGAGGCCGCCGCGGCGGTCTGAGCAGCAAGGGTTGTCTCAGCGATAGCGGTAGACACGTCAGAGTAAGAGCACTGGGAGGGAGCAAAGCCCTGGAAGGTAGGGACCGCCGCGGTACCGCTGGACTTAGCGATAGCACGCTAGCGAGTCTCTATCGTAGACAGGGTGGTGACGAACTCGGGAAGGGTGAGGTCAGCGGGGTGGAGACCTAGGAAATGGTCGCGGATAGTGGCTAGGCGGTTGGGAAGGCGCGTGGCAATGAAATAGAGGGTAGCGTCGACGGAAGGAGGGAGTACAGTGAGCTGGGCCTTAGTGCTAAGAGCGCGGTAGCTAGCCTCAAGTGCGCGCATGTGAGTGGCCAGGTCAGCGACAGTGGGGAAGGACGCGAGATCAGGAAAGAGCAGGGGGAGCAGGAAACGGCCGGCAGAGGCGGAGGAGGGAGTGGAGTAGCGTGCAACGACAGCATCTAAGTATTCATACGCAGTCTCTACGGTCTGATAGCGGGGACGCTCGGACAGGGGGGGGGCGCGACTGATAGCAAGCTGCGCAACTGCGTCGCGCGACTCCCAGACAGAGCGGGCGAGCTCAGTAGCTTCAAAGGCCTCACGCTCAGCGGGCGTGGGGGCGTCAGAGAGGGCAGTAGGCGGGTCGGGGCAGGGGAGCTTACCGTCGACGTGGACGGCCAGGGACTGGCCGTCCTGGCGCTAACCCCTCAGCGAGCGGCGGAGGTCGGCGAGCCACGCCTCAAAATTGATCGGCCGACCCTCCGCGTCCAGGCGGAGCACAGCGTCCGCCATCGCCGCAGCTGACAAGAGCTTGAGGTGGAGGAGGAGAGTGCGGTGGAGAGCGGTGGAGAGCGATGGAGAGCGGTGGCCAGCGGTGGAGAGCGGTGGAGAGTGGTGGAGACGGCTGGCGGGAGCACCAGCGCAGAGGGGGAGCCAAGGCCGGCGGGTCGGCCTGGTAGCACGGCGACTCGGCGACTCGGCGGCTCGGCGGGTCAGCGGCGCGGCTAGAGCCGGCGGCGACTGGGGCCGGCGCGGACAGGGGTCGGCGTGAGCTGGGGCCGGCGAGCATGGTCCGGCGGGAGCTGGAGTCGGCGCGAGCAGGGGCCGGCGCGGACGGGGGCCGGCGCGGACTGGGGCCGGCACGGACGCGAGGCCTGCGGGCGCGGGGCCAGCGAGCGCGAGCTGGCGGGGCCGGCGCGAAGTGGCGAGACCGGCACGGGCTGACGGGGCCAGCGCGAAGTGGCGGGGCCGGCAAGCGCAGGGCCGCGACGAGAGCAGGGGGGGGGAGACCTAACATAGCGTGATACCATCTCAGAATAACGCAATAACTAGAATGAGGCATACAGACAGGTTTTGTGCTATGGTGCTGTACTCTCTATGAGCATGCCCCGAGAACAACATAGAAATATGTTAACACCACGCCCTTAGTGCACGACTCTCTCTAGGAAACGAGCTCGTTACCACTTATCCCGCAACGATGCGGTGAACATGTCGTACTCTCGTGTCAATATATTTGGCCAATATGCTTAACATATCAAAATTACACAAGGCATAGACACTCCTTGGTCTCACAACTGGGCACTGATAGATCATCTCAACAAAGCAACGATGGAGCCTCAACACCTATATCCAATAACAGGACTCAACCTACGATCAACCTACCTACACAATCGATGGTGCATCTCCTATCCATGTGCACGATGCTCGTTGCCACCGAGTGCGAATACAATCCACAAGAGGAGCTTCGCGCGAAGCAGGGTGAAGAGGATTCACACTGGAGTCAAACGAGTCTGCCACCACCTCAGCGGGAATTTCGTCCACTCCACTGCCGTCCGGCCTTGGGATTATCATGAGATCCTCCGGCATCCATTTGGGCGGCACGGTCACGTGAAGCCGGACCAACCTCGGCCGTTGATCCATGGCAGTCAACGGCGGGGATAGCACACGCTGCGGCACATCCAAACCGCCATATGACATGTCCCCTGCTCCATTCCCCCCAGCTGCTCCTGGTGCTGGTGCTGGTGCTGCATTGCTGCTACCTGTCTGCACCCGCTTCGCAATGCCATTGAAGTGATACAAGTCAAACTTCCTACTACCAGGCCGCCCCCCAGTTGACCCCTCCCTTTTGAACCCTCCCTGGGATCGCTCCAGCTTCAGCAAAGCCTGCCACAGCTCGTTCCATACTATTACCCCCAACGCCGAAAGCGAGTCTATTGTCTCTGAAGGGAAATTTACCCTCAGTTCGGCCAGCATACGTTGGAGCGACTCCACTGCTACAAACCCTCCTCCCCCACTTGTATCAAACCGGTCGAAAACCTCTCTAACCCGGGTCTCCTCTGCTTCTGCATCATTTTCGTTCTGGACTTCAGTCGAGAGTGCAAAGAGCACGGTGTAATGTGATTCGCTGCCCACCACCCAGACGGGCAGCTTGGGATGTTTCAGGCGCTGCCCGACCTTGCAGAGGTTGAGGGACTCGAGGAGTGTGAGGAAGCCAACCTGGGTTTCGGAAGGGATGCCTTTGAGCGACATGCCTCCTCCCAGGTCCATGGTGCCATCAAACACGTTGGGCACGGCCTCACCGCACAGCAGCAGATTGACTATCTCCTGAAGGTTTAAGGCAGGGGTGGAAGGGGGAACTGACAGTGAGTGGGACGAGGGTGGTGGAGGCGGAAAGGCCTTTGAGCGACATGCCTCCTCCCAGGTCCATTGTGCCATCAAACACGTTGGGCACGGCCTCACCGCACAGCAGCAGATTGACTATCTCCTGAAGGTTTAAGGCAGGGGTGGAAGGGGGAACTGACAGTGAGTGGGACGAGGGTGGTGGAGGCGGAAAGGCCTTTGAGCGACATGCCTCCTCCCAGGTCCATTGTGCCATCAAACACGTTGGGCACGGCCTCACCGCACAGCAGCAGATTGACTATCTCTTGACGATACAAAAACAAAGGTAGTGTGGTCACCGTGGGTGCGGGGGGGGGGGGAGGGGAAGAGAGGGTGGAGAGGTGTTGATGAGACGAGGGAAGGATAAGAACGGTCACCAAGGGAGAGCAACGGAGATAGAAAAAAGCCCGGACCGGCTAACACTTGCACAAGGCGGGCACGAGATACCAACAGAGGAAGGAGGACAATTGACCAACAGAGGAAGGAGGACGATTGGGGAAGAAACATTCAAGGCAGTGCACCAACCAACCTGTGAGGCATGGCCGAATGGAGGTGTAACAAGCGGCGGCTCTGGGTCGTCCCTATCCTCCTGAACCCGCTCCTGTGAGAGGCAGCCGACACAGCAATACAGAGCGTGGAAAAAAGCACACTCGTTCTGATCACAAAAATGGGACCTACAGGGCCTTCTACAGAGTGTGAGCAAGTATGTGGATGGAGATCCTAAGTGCAGATCCCAGGTCAGGCGTTTGATCCCCAGTGGCACCTGGTCTTTCCAGAACCCTCAATCGATTGCAGCATTGAGATGACCACTCGTTTGGAATGATGGGGCACATGAATGATGGGGCACATGAATGACGGGGCACATGAATGACGGGGCACATGAATGACGGGGCACATGAATGACGGGGCACATGAATGACGGGGCACATGAATGACGGGGCACATGAATGACGGGGCACATGAATGATGGGGCACATGAATGATGGGGCACATGAATGATGGGGCACATGAATGATGGGGCACATGAATGATGGGGCACATGAATGATGGGGCACATGAATGATGGGGCACATGAATGATGGGGCACATGAATGATGGGGCACATGAATGACGGGGCACATGAATGACGGGGCACATGAATGACGGGGCACATGAATGACGGGGCACATGAATGATGGGGCACATGAATGATGGGGCACATGAATGATGGGGCACATGAATGATGGGGCACATGAATGATGGGGCACATGAATGATGGGGCACATGAATGATGGGGCACATGAATGATGGGGCACATGAATGATGGGCCACATGAATGATGGGGCACATGAATGAAAGCTCACCAGTCCCCCGGAGAGAGAACTGCCGCGAAGAGCAGCAGCAGCAGCAAGCCAAAGCCACTTCCAAACACCGAAAGCAGCCTTTTGAGGTGCTCCAAAACTGAAGGAAAGGGTGCGGGTGCATGAACTCACCAGCCCCAAATGGGCACATGAACTCACCAGCCCCAAATGGGCACATGAACTCACCGGCCCCAAATGGGCACATGAACTCACCAGCCCCAAATGGGCACATGAACTCACCAGTCCCCAGTGGCACATGAACTCACCAGTCCCCTGGATAGCAGCGCCGAGAACAGCAGCAGCAGCGCGCCAAAGTCGCTCTCAAACACGGGAAACAGCCGGTGAAGCGCCTTCGCCACGTCAGCATGCGACGCCCCTGCCAGGTGTCGCACTCTGACTGCTCCTTGCAGCGCTGTTGCATCACTGATAGGGCTTGGTGATAGTCCCTCTGACCCGAAAGCAGCCACCCTGTGCGGTGATATGGCAGCAATGACCACTTTCTGCCCCCTGCTCGGTACCCATAGCGACTCTGCCATTGCTAATACCAGCGCCCTGCAGAGGAGGGGTTGAGGGGGGGGGGGTGTGAAAGGGGTTGGGAAAGGTACTTGACAGAACGCCCAAGGAAGCCGAAACGAATGAGAGACCTAAACTTTTGGCAAAGGCTTTTACGGACCAATTCCTCCACCATCGCACGCATGTGTGCCTACCTTCGTCTGTCAATCTGCGAGAAAATAAGATCGGCCTCTCCTCCATCTCCACCCTCCCCTTCTCCACCCTCCCCTTCTCCATCCCGCGCGGCTACAAGCCCTGGCAGAGCAGTGGAGTCACCTGACCCCTCACCCTCTCCTGCTACAGCAACAGCACCAGTGACAGTACCAGTGACAGCGCCAATCACAGCACCACCACTAGCACCAGCAGCAGCCCTTGAACACACTCTCCCTTGCACCTCAAGGCCCGGCACCAAGTCGTAAAACCTCAGATCATCCTCCTCCCAGCTTCCTTCTCCCTGCCTCCTCCCCTCCTCCCGCCGCTCCCCCTGCTGACCAGCGCCCATTTCCCCAGCAGCAGCAGCCCCAGCAGCGGCAAGTGCAGCAGGTACGGCAGGCAGGGAGGCATCCGTGGGGCGCGAGGGAGCGGGGAGGAAGAGGAGGTACTTGAGCAGCAGCGCCTGGATCGGCGCCAGCACGCCGCACGGCCCTCCCTCCCGCTGCACCAGGCCGAGCGAGGTCGCTGGGTCGTCACTGAACCTGCGAGTGCGTGCACGTGCGAGAAAGAAAGGGTAAGAGAGGAGTGAGAACCAGTGGGACGCGGGGGAGAGGGGAGGAAGAGCAGGTACTGCTCGAGGCTATTGAAGCATCACCTGAATCCCTGCCGCGACCACTGCGAGAGGGTGGCAGCAGGCGGGCTCCGCCCGAACACCATGTCGAACAGCCGAAACGCCTCGTCCAGCGGCAATGCAGCCAACCCCTGCTCCCCCTCCCACAACCTCTCCGCCTCACTCCACCCCTCTCCACCCACCACACCCTCCCCAGCGCCCTCGATACGCGCACTCCCAGACCCATCTGTCTCAGCCCGCGTTGACTCAACCCCCTCTGCTCCATCCCCATCCGTTCTCTTCTCTGCTGAAATCGCCGGAACTCTGGCGTCTCCTGCGTGTCCTGCGTTTCCTGCGCCTACTACAGAATCGCATGCCTGATCCGCCATGTCAGCGTCATCGCCACGTGTCGCGACGGGAATAGCAGGGACCGGAACGCTCGTTGGAACCTTATCTACATGTGAATCAGGCCTGACAGATGCGGGAACAGCTGGGACTCCAGAGGAAGCCACGGCTGATCCGGTATTGGCTGATCCGATTTTGGCTGATTCGACACTGGGCTTTCCTAAAGCAGCCATTCTTCGCTCCGCGGCTGCTGCTCGAATCTCCCGCTGGATCCGTCTCTCCCGCTCCTCTGCAGTCTCGGGTCTCGCTGCCGCGCGACCGCTATAAGAACCTCCACTATAACCACCACCTCCTCCTGCTTGTCCTGGATCCGACCCTTCATCCTCGGATTTGCTACGCTTGGCGGACGGGGGGCAAGGATCGGGGCTCGCCTTGGATCCGTCGCTAGACTGGGGACCGTAGCCGCCGCTGCTAGTCTGGGGGTTTCGCGGGGAGGCGTGTCCTGCGGGAGGTGGACTCGCCAGGCTCATGCGGAAGGCCCTCTGCAGCTGCTCGTCCTCGTCGTCAGCCATGACTTATATGCTATGAATCGACAGAGAAAGGCGGATCCAGACCCTGGAATGCGGGAATGGGGGTTTCAAAAGCCAGCAGCTGCGAAGTGCAGGAGCCTGATGAGGAATGGAAAATCGCAGACCCTGGGAAATTGAAGTTCGACCGCCAGCAGAAACTGTCCGCATCGAGAAGTACGCGATTGCTGGAACAGCACCAGCAGAAACGAAATCGCGGGGAAGGGCCGATGTAATCCGAGCCGTTCAATAGCAAACCGAAGTACACTTCTTGATTGTGTACATTTTCGTTAGTCTTTTCCTACAAATTTCAACATGCTAGTTAGAGTAAGGGTGCGTGTAAAGTGGGGCACATAACGAACGGAGGAGCAGACGAACGGAGCCGCAGGGCCGTGGCCAATGAGGTGTCTTCCTGATGTTCTGGAACAAAACTTTCGAATGTACGCGGGGCATGTGTCAAACCTGCAAAAAAAAATCATGCCTCGTTGTGACGAAAGCCCACGAACCCCACGTTGCCTTTCGCCAAGCATTGTGACCGTGCAATTTGCAGCGACAAAAGTTGTGGCGCAGATATGAGGTCGTTGAAGGGAGTCAATTACAGTAGCTGGGTGGCTTTTCGTGACTGCGAAATTTCCGAAGGCGTTGATGCTCGGTAACAGTTTTGAAACTGCTATTTGGCAATTTGGGGCGGTCTCGATTGTCTCGCCTCGTGGCCTGGCCAAATTTTACCGGAACAGCTAAACTGCCCACGGGCATATCGGACGGAGGAACGGAGGAACGGAGCAAACGAACGGAGCTGCCGCCCAACCTTACACACGCCCTAAGGTTTATATACTAACCAAACAACACAGCCATCCTCTCTCAATTCTGCTAAAACTTCAGAAGGGATGTCTACTCTACAGCTTTCCTAGCCATAACGCAAGTGGAAATTGTGCAGCACCCATGGCCAGGAGCATGTACCGGTGGCGCGAGGAGTCACGGTCATAGTGCCGAGTCTCTGCAAACATCACCCGCTTCATCGTCTTCACCAGAAACATTGCCATGCACAGGCTGCAACAAAAATTGGGAAAATATTAGGTTTATGAATCACCTCATACGACCCAACAACAATGACATCACGATATGGAATATATGCAAGGAGGTAAATGACATACCAAGCAGCTCTCCTTCCACCAAAGCAGCCCCCCTTGTTCACGTACCTTGTCCAGATCAAGACAGGGAAGTAAGCCATCCGCCAAATGACCCACGAAAGGCTTGTAAGGGAGATTCCAACAAACATGTAGCCGGCATACGCCACGAGGTCAAGCAAAGGAGCGTCGCCAGATGCTAACGAGTAGAGTATCGTCCGGAGCAGCAGCACCTCCAGAAACCACCCAATCAGTCCCTTGCCAACACGGGCGTTCACGAACGCTGGAGCAAACCTGCATGCCACAGAAGTAGCAAAAAAATTAAATCAAGAAAAAATGCCTTATACATTCTGAAACCCCTACGAGCCCAGCAGCCAAGCAGAGAGTCCAGCGAACACCGAATTGGTGGCAAAGGGGAATGAGTCAACTCAAAGGTATAATCTCTCCCTCGCTCCCTCTCCTGCCAAGTCAATTCACCTTTACCTGCCGAGCAGGCCAGCAGCGAGGCCAGCAAGCACCACGTAGGAGGCGAAGGCAACACTTGTGCTGAATCAAAGTCACATGCTCGAACAATACGCACGCCCTCTCCTGCCATGCGGATTCTCCCATACCTGCCCAGCAGGCCAGCCGAGAGCCCAGCGAGCACCACATAGGAGGCGAAGGCCATGGCAGGGATGTAGAGGTCCGGGGCGTTGATGTCGCTGCAGGGCGGCTTGTACGTCAGCCCGCCTGCCACCTGCTCCGCCACCCTCGTCCAATGGCCCTGCAAGAAACGCCAGTGGAAGGCCCTACTAAGAGACTCGGCTGTGCATGACACGGGACAGAATCAGAACATGTCCACTGAGCAGGCAGTCCGGATACAGTGAACTGGCGGCTGACGAAAAGGGCATCAGGATGGGATAAATCAGAGGAGGCTGAGGTGGGAGAAGCTGAGGACTGGGAGTTGATATGGACGACGATGAGTACGATTGGCGTGGACTCTACCTTTCGCAAAAATGGGAAGACGATGATGGATCGTGGGGAGCAGAGGCAGCTGAGGTAGATTTCACCGAGGACTGGGAGATGAGAAGGATTGCCGTGGACTCTACCTTGTGCAGGAATGGGAAGACGATAATTTTGAGCTTGTTGCGCACGTAGGCGTCGTTGACATGGAAGTAGTAGTGGAAGTCCGTGGATGCGAAGTACTTGCCCACCTGCATAACGCCACAGGAATCGTTTTAACAACCATTCGGAGATTGAGCTGAGACTTGCGAATCCACTGGCATGGAATTCACATTCTCCTGCCATTTCAGCAGGCAGTTTTGCCACCGGAATGTCAGTAAATGAACAGGACGAACAGCACCCACCACAGAGACGAACAGAGACGCGCTCCCATACATCCCAGCAGCCCAAGAATCTGCAATTCCATAGACATTCCTCTCCTATCGAGTCACTTACGTTGTTTTGAACGTAGGCGCGACTGCTCCCTAGTAGCCGCTCGCCATAAGCACCCAGGCCAGACCGAATGAACCCTGACCCAGCCCCTGCGAGCATGTCGTTCAGTGGGTTGTGCCCCCCATCCGCCCCCCCCGCCCCCGGACCTCCCATCATCCCCGGCGGACCCATCGGGCCCCCGCCAGGCGCAGGTCCCCCGAATCCGAATCCGCCACCTCCGCCGACTCCCCCAGGAGGCCCCTGTGGCGGACCGAAGCCGAACCCCGGCTGTGGTGGCTGCTGCTGCTGCATCCCTGCTCCGCCTGCTGGTGGACGGTATCCTGGCGGTCCACTGAATTGATCAAACGGTCCAGGAGGGCCCTGGATGGACAGGGATCAATGGGAATCGTATTGGTGAAGACGTCTTGTCGGACGAAAAGGACGAGAAGGAGAGCGATTGGAGCTCAACAGCGAGCGAAGAACATGCTACGAACTGCAGAGTTGTTACGTGTGATTCTTTCGAGACCCGCGATAGAACTACCACAATGGAATCGTTGACTCACTAGCGGAACGGACCGCCAACAACCACCCTAGGGATCGGTTGACTCACTTGCGGAACGGATTGCCATCCCGAGGGCAGGGGGTTTGACGACCCTGACGGCCCCGCCTGGGGAACGAAGAGCTGCGGTCGGGACATCGGACGAGCTGGGCAATGGACGATGGAGCGGACCTATTGATCAGAGGCCTGCAGCGGAAACCGCGAACGATGCGTTCAGCGTACGGCCACCGGGAATCTGCTGAGAATCACTGAACACGTCAGTTCCGAATCAGGATTAAGTTTTAAGCTTGTTTTAAATTAAGTCCAGGATCCGCCAAGCGAGTTAAACGGGTAAAATAGGTGAACCATTCAGCCGTTGCAGTACAGTTGCAGGGTGAATCTACTGAAATGGGATCAAGTGAATGTTGGTACAGTCTGGTACTTCCATGACCTGCCCGCGCCGAGCTCCACCCAACATTCTCCCAGGCGCTTGGCGGGAACTCCAAGCACCTCCCAAACTTCTAGGTCTGGGCTCAACTTGGCTGGTTGTGTTCCTGAAGCGGGGGCGTCGAATTTTTCTGGTGAAATAATTTTGGAATTTCCACGGGAATATGCGTTTCGACTTACTTGCGATTTATACTTTTACGTAAACGGATCACTCTGGAAGCTGGATAGTTGTGAGGGCCCTTGGAATTTGCCCAGTGTTTGCATTGCATGCACCCAAGCCTGAAATTATGAACCAGCAAGCTCTGGACTGATGTCCCACGACTTACTTCAGTGACTTTATTTGCTTCATTCCTTTCAGCTCCACCTTACCTGACAGCTAGCGATCTCCTTCATCAGCAATTTCTCTGGCTTTCCACTTCATCTCGTCGTAGTTCGTGATGGATTCCAGACTAAAGCAACCCGAGCAACGGAATAAGAGCGTCGGTAACGCAGGGATGTTCAAAGTTCCACCACGTCCGTCAACCAGCCGGATTCCTTACGCTCCATTACCGAATCAAGGCAATGATTCCGGAGCCACGCCAAAGGCTTCGTCTCCTGCGAGGTCACACCGCTCCTCATCTGGTTCTTGCTTTGAGACACCTGTCGCCGCTCCAAGTTCCTCGAGGCGCCTTTCATATGCAGTCAATTCTGGTATCAAGCCCAGCCGGCCTTCTTCCGTGTCCAAGGGAAGATCCTCAATTGTGGCCCCGGCATACAGCAACCTGAGCTCTGCGAAGAAACCAGGAGAAGATCCTCGTCCCTTGAAAGACAAGGCTTACCAGGCAGATTGCATTCAGAACATTTATGCATTTTTGGAGAGCCGTGGCTTTGACAAACCATTTGATGCAGGAATGCTTCAACTTCCGTCAAGTAAGCTCTTCCTGAAGATCTTTGAGTTCGTTATGAAGCAGATAGATCCGAGATTCAAGTACGGGAATAAACCAGAAGACGACATTCTGGACTTCGTCAAAGGACTGCACTATCCGTACAATCTTTCTCGAAGCTCGTTGCAGCAGGCTGGAACTCCCCACACGTGGCCACCATTGTTGGCGATGTTGAACTGGCTTGTTCAGACGATTAACTTCAGTGATGCTACTTCTGGTCCTGGAACCACCGCTGCACAACCTGCACATTTGACACCTCGACGCTTTGAGGCTGGTCCATTGACAAACTTGACTTCAGAGACATCGCCGCTTGATGAGGAGGGTTGCAGGGCAGTGTTCTTTGAGTTCATGAAGGAGAGCTACAACGTTTTTATGAACACCGAGGATGAGACGATTTCCGATGCAAAGAGCCAAGAGATGATGCAACTGTTCACGACTTACTTCGAGGAGGCTCGGCAGGAGGTGGCACTCGACGTGGAGAATCTCAAAACGGAGCTTTCGCGTAAGGAGGTGAGTGGGTATTCTGGGGAGTTGTTATTTGCGTTGGAATAAAATGACAAGATCTGCTTTTTTGCCACAGGCCACCTTGGAGCGCATGCAGGATAAATCTGAACTGAAGAAGCTGCAGGAGGATAAAGAAATACTCGAAAAGCTGCTCAGCGATCTGATCAAAGAGACTCAACGTGGGGAGAAAGACTTACAAGTGCGTCGAGATAAGTTCTTGGCTTTTTCCGTGCTCAGCAGGACACTAATACCGGTACTGCAACATGTTTCAGGGATACGAGGAGGTCCTTCTGGACAAACAGCAAGAGCTCAAGAAATGCGCTGAGATCACAGCTGGCATCCAGGAAGACAACGCACTGCTTTGCAAGCGGATTCAGGAACAGCGATTTTCAAAAGATGACATCGAACACATGGAAGAGAAGTTAGCTCGCAGGAAGGCCGTGTTACAAATGCTGAAGGAAAACCGCATGCACGCTGGGAAGGAGGCAAGCAAGGTGGAGATACAAAAGGTCAAGATTATGGAGGAGATCGGGCAAGCAGCTAAGAAGTTCAATCAGAGGGCGGCCAGGTAGGTGAAAGCTTTTTGTGGAATACCTCACTGAAAGTTCTATCCTCACGCCTTCAAGATTGCATGCAGGCTCAAACTTATACCTCCATCTAACAAGCATGCTGAGGGCCGTTGCTTCTCCATTCAAATCAATCCGCATGCAAAAACTGCTCAGGATATGATGTCTGACAGCATGCCAAAGGCAGATATCCGTGCAGCTATTCAGCAAGTGAAGGAGAAGTACAACTCTAAAGAACAAAGGCTGCATGCCGAGCTGACACAGCTGGACATGGAGCTGGCTGAAGAATCAGAAGCGGTTGAAAAGCTTGCTGTTGAACTGGAAACTACGGAGAAGATGAAGAAACGGGTATGGTACCATGGTCAAACTGGCTCTTCTTTTGCATTGGGTGGTTTCTGAAATGGGACATGTGAATGTAGTGAGTACATAATTGTTGTGACACATGGCGAGTGTTACTGCTTTTTGCAGGACGAGGAAGAAGTGTTGGCTGCAACTGAGAGGGCTAAGCAGGAAGTGGAGGCACGCTTAGAGGACGTTCGAATGAGGGCATTTGCTGCACGGACAGAAATTGAAAACCGGGCAGCCACTCTGGAGAGCCTGAGGCAGAAGAGCCAGGTGGGCTTCTAGAAGCTGGGGTTGATGTTTTTCAGGCAACATATATATTGTTGTTGACTTCTTAAGGCTTTGCGCCTTCCTTCTGTGAGCAGGATTGTGACATGGAGATGGAGAAGCGCCGACAGGAGGAGAACAAAGAAATGGAGAAATTGAAGGAAAGGACATTGCGCCTGGAGAGTATGCTGGATTATGCCGCAAAGCATGTCCATCAGGCCAATGACCTTGTTACCGAATCAGTAGGGAATGCTATGGATGCCCTTGAAAAGCTACCCAGCTGACCGGGGTAACGGGGTTGCGGAAGGTGCTAGTTTGTTTCACTGTCATTTCTGCCAATAACACCTATACAACACTGAACACTTATATTGGTTCCAAATCCAAGCCCCTTTTGCGGGTAGTGCAATACCCCATGTAGGTATTATATGTGTACCATATCCTTTCATCATGATGCACATCCATCTGCGTACAATGACACCCATTAGCTCCTGAGAAGCTCGTACAGCGTTTGTGCCTGCAAGACCCAAAAAGTGGGGCATGGGCAGAATAGATATATGTTAAACGAGCAAAATCGGCACAATAGACACCAAAGGACATGCTCAATTCTTCTCAAAGGACCTCCTCTGCATTCAAGCTTTGTAGCAACAAACAGCCACTTACCTTATGTCTTGCTCGTGTGTTGCCTCTCATAGCCACAGCCTTGATGGACGGAAGAGGGCCCTCCATCAGTAACAGCTCCTTCCATCTGATGCTGCTCTTTGCAATAGAGAGCAGAGCTGAAACTGCAAACTCCTTGCTTCGCTCTGTTCCACCATCCAGTGTTTCCAGAAAAACATTCAACCCAGAAGTCATGCTCAAACTGTCAGACGCTTGAGGAAGCTCATTATTTCCATAACCTGCATTGCCACCTGGCAGATCCCAGGCCCCATCGCTGACCTGTGCAGAAAAGATGGCCTCCCTTCCAGCCTCCTCTCTGGCCACATTGGCAAGCACCCCCATGGCTTTCTCAGATATGTACTCGTCAGCACTGCCCATCATGGCCAGCTCCAGCATCACAGGTACCGCTCCAGCTCGAACCAAACTGAGCCTTCCCACCGAGCAGGTCGAGAAATTGAACAGTGCTTTGCAAGCATCCTTCCTCCCCTGACCGCTGCACCTTGGCTCCTGTAGCAGCTGAACCAGCGATTCCGCTGCCCCGCTTCTCACTAGCTCGGCTCTGTTATCAACCGCTTGCGAAAGGCTGAAGACCAGAGCTGCTGCAATTTCTCTAATATTGATCGCCACGAGATTGCCACTCCCGCTCGAGCTAACCGAACTATTACTCAGACTTCCACTGCTGCTCCTGCTGCTGCTTTGTGAAGCATCCCACTGCCGGCTCCCAACCATCTGTACCACCGGGCGGACAACTCCAAGCTTTGGCATGATTTCAATCGATGACGGGTGAATGGACAGATTCAACAGCGCTGTTACTGCTTCTTCCACTACCTTCATCCTCAAATCCCTCAATCTACCGTTCTCCCCTGTTACCCCATCGCCCACACTTCTGTCCAGCCATGGTTGTACTCCTGGCCCGCCTTCAGCCCAATCTAGCAGAGGCAGCAGCGTTCCCACAGCTCCTTTTTCCACCATCACTGCTCTGCACCCCTCTAAATCCCGTGCCATGTGCCTGATCTGCCGCGCACCAGCCACCTGCCTCTCTAGCACTGCAGCAGTCGACTCTTCCGCTCCCCTACACGCACAGCAATCTAGCAAAGCGCGCTGAAACCCAGGCGGAGGCAGGGAAGCGGACGAAGCAGGCTCAGCAGGCACTGTTACATGGGAGCCGTGGGAGTCTTCTACAGGAGGAGAGGCGGAGGACGGAACGCGAGCGGAAAGATGCGCTGATGAGGTTCTAGAGGCTTGCAGGTCGGCTAGTGACGGTATGAGGACGGCGGGAGAGGGGCACGCGCTGAAGGGCGGAGAAGGGGTGGAAGCGGCGAAGGGGGAACGGTAGGGGAAGGACGCGCGATGGGCGGAGGAGGCTGAGGAACAGGATAACCGGGGAGGCGTGGCGGGGGGTGTGGAACCGGAGGGTGAGGATGGGACTGGTTCAGAAGAGCAGGGGGAGGGGGGGATAGGCGGTGCATGTGAGACTGTAACAGGGGGTGACTGTAACGCAGCAGCGGGATGCCTGTCCTTCCAAGGCGCAACCCGGCTGGTAACCACGTTACGCAGCAACTGCCCCATCCGCTGCCTCCCGACGTGATTCTGTAGTACCCTCTCCTTCGCCTGCGCCTCTTCGCCCGCAGCTTGTGAGCGGATCGGTCCCGCGTGCGCCGGGTAGCCGTTGCCCGGTACTGGTAAGTCGACCGAATCCAGGCTACTATCTTCTGAGTGGGAGCTGATGCTGCGGCACGTGGCTTCGGAGCAGGTCAACACGAGAGTGGAGTGTGACGCACAGGGATGCGCCAAGTCGCGGGACTCAGAGCGGGAGAACGCGTGGGGGGGCAAAGCGCTGCCGTTTCTTCCCGTGCTTGGCTGCACCGCTGCGTCGTGCCTCGCCGCTGCGTCGTGCCTCCCCGCGGCGTCGTGCCTCGCCACTTCTTCGTGCTGCGCAGGGCCCTGCACCCGCACCTCCGGTCGTCCGATCATTCCTGGCAGACCAGAGTCGTGGCCGAAAGCGTCACCGCCTGGGATCTCAGGAGGAGGAGGTGGGGAAAAAGCAGGAGGGTGGGGAAACGCAGGAGGAGGGGGGAAAGCAGGAGGAAGGGGGGGAGGACGAAGGGGAGGAGGAGCATCGACGGGTGGCACAGAAGACCCGATGGTGACAGGGTCGTCGTAGCTATTCGTCAGAACGAGGGGATTGCCGTGGGTGTCGTCGTGTGCAGCGGAGGGTGCAGCGAAGGGTGCAGCGAAGGGTGCAGCGAAGGGTGCGGCGAAGCGACGGTTGTAAGTATCCGGTAGGGCCGACAGGCTGTCGTCGTTGCCTCTTACCCTGGTTTCGTACGCGCTAGGAAATACATCTCTGGAGCTCGAGCCGTGGTTGTTGCAATTGTTGCCGTACGTGCTGTCGAGGCTCCCTATGCTTTCTAAGGCGACTTTCACTCGGTTCGCGCGGAGGAGCTTTTTTCTCAAGCGAGGTGCCTGCTCTCTCGGGTGAGTAGGTAAATCGTGCATACTTGGTTCGTGCATACTTGGCTCGCCTCTTCTCGGCAACACTGACACATCGAACGAAAGCAGCTGTGCAATGGCTGACTAACAAATACGAGGACTACTCCACTGCGCACGTCTGGGAACTAAGGAATAAAGACAGGCAGAGATGGAAGCACAACTGTCAGACAACTAAGAATGGACCAATGATCTTGCCAGGGGAGGAGAAAACTTGTAAGATACTCTACTCCTGACTAGAGCTAGTTACGGTGGAGAATGTTTTCTTGCACATTATTCATGATTAAGAGTGGTGAAAGCAGGTGACGCCAAATTCCGATCCCCCCCATTCCCGTGATGATTTGCGTGTCTGCTGTGCCAACCTGGATCATGTTGGCAGCTTTCGCGAAGGGCAAGCCCATCGGTTGCTCCTAACCAGAAAGGCATCAGGCAACGGTTAGATGAATCCAGTCCGTCAAACATGAGAAAACGAACGGTTAAAACGAGCCGTTTGCAGTTTGCATCGACGTGGCCGGCAATCAGCGGCTGCGTAGAGGAAGATCATGTCATGCGCGGGCGTGGGGGATTGAAGCTCATTGGCTCTCCCTCTACGCTCGCTCTCCCGCGCGTAGTGTCCTGCGGGGAGCGCCAAAGGCTGCCTGCCGGGGGAAATTCGTGGAACAAGCGCGTACCACTGCTCACGGACCTGGAAGGTGCGAAAGCGGCGAATGCTCCCATACAGCATGATTCTCGACGCTGTACGAGCACATCCTAAGCACTTGGGACGTCATGTAATCTACATTCCACAGAATTCCACAACATAAACAACCAAGGCAATATTCTCATTGCTTTGATACTTTGACAGGATAGAAAACCATCAAGAGTTGCTGGGCATGTGGGGCCCCAGCCTTTGCCAAAGCTTCAAGATGCGGCCTCGGTTTCTCCTTTCGGAGCAAGGACCATATCTCTTCCAAAACTGGAGCACTGCTTTGCCCAGCATTCCTCACAACGCGGTGAAGAATTGCAATGGCATGTTCCTTTGTCGCCTCACTCCCACTCACAAGCAATCTGAAAAGCCCCTGCAATCCCGATACTTCGATGCAGCTCCCACATCCACCTTCATAACAGCCGTCAGAGCCAGCAGCACCACTTTCACCCACGGACCAGAGCTGAACTTTGCTGCTGATTATAGCGTTAAGGCCCGATCGCTCCTCGGATACATTAGTCAGCGTGTGCATGCCCTTGTCAAAGAACCGCTCCGACTGCTTGGCATACAAATGGCTGCTTTTCTGCAAGCCGCACAGCACCACCTCCAGCAGCAAAGGCACAGCGCCGCCATACACCAGAGCCAGCCTCCCTGACTCACACATGGATAAGAGGTAGAGGGCGTACAAGGCGTCCTTCTGACCCTCCCTGCTGCACGCTGGCTCCCTCAACAGCCTCACCAGCGGCCTCACAGCGCGTTGATCGACTAGATCCTCTTTCAGCGATGTCGCCTGGGCGAGACTGTGGATTACTGCCACTGCAAGCTCTCTAAGATTCAGAAGTGCTGCACTGGTGCTCGTGCTGCTGCTGCAGCTGCTGCGGTCAGCAGCACTGCTCCTGGCATCACGCTCCCGGGTATTGTTCTGCGAGGCATGGCTACCTCTGACGTCATCCTGGCAGGGTTGACCAGGACTGACGTCAGCCAGTCTGACAACGCTGGGGACGATTCCATGGCTCCTCATCATATGCTTCGCGGTCTTATCTAAAGACAGGTTCAGCAGCGCAGCAGCTGCCTCCTCAGCGACCTGATACCGCAAATCCAACGCGCTCCTTCCTTCGCCAGCTTCTAACACCCCGTTTACAAGCGAAGCCAGCAGTTTAGCTGCGCCCATTTCGACCATGTAACCGCAAATCGCCGCGTCGCGAGCCATGACTTTAATCTCCCGCGCCCCGACGAGCTGTCGCGAGAGCGCGCACGTCTCCGATTCGCCGGGACACGCGCCGGAGTAGCAATTCCGCAACGCCTGGGGGAACTGCGGGGGAGGCTGGGTGAACGTGGAACCCGCGGCTGCACGCGCGGAAGGCGCAACATATCCGGCAGGCGCAGGTGCGGAACCCGCGGCGGCGTGATGGCTCTGCAGAGGGTGGTACGAGGCCGGATGTGAGGGGCTTCTGGACGGGGTGAGAACAGGTGGGACAGAAGCCGCGGATTCCGCGGACTGCACCGTCCAGGAAGGTTCCGCGGCGATGGCCGGGTCTGTGTGGTAACCGAACGCGTCTGACGGCGACCCGTTGGACGGTGTTGCTCCGAGCTGTTGCTGCAGCGCCGGCTTCCGCCGCTGCTTGTGGGAGTGCCGGTGCCTCTCGCTCAGCTGCTCGAGCGTGGGAAGGTTGTTCAGAGGGCTGTTCGCGAACAGATGATGCTGTGGCGAAGGGCTGTTGGCGAAGAGATGATGCTGCGGCGATGCGTGGACATGCGCTCGTCGCAGGTTGTTCTCTATTCTCGCGATGTTTGGATCCATGTGTTCCGGTGAATGGGCGGAAATCATGGGTGGTCGGTCGCGACGAACAAGGTTCGGGGAAGAGTGGCGGTCAACGGCTTGGGAGTTGAAGCTTCGACAATGCTCGCGCTTACTAAGTGGCAGGCTGGCGATTCAAGACAGAGTGAGACTAGAAGACAGCCACGTGGCGGGAATGGTGACTCAGTTCGCCTGAAGGAGCTGAAAGTATTCTGGATGCTTGATGATAGGGTGTACTCGGTCCCTAGGCCTTGTTTTGGCCCGCGCGATCTGACCACAACAAACGGAAGCTATCCAGTGAGCCTCATCAACCGTGGCGTTGCCGGCGCAAGGAAAAGAGAGGGGGAGAGATCCACACAAGAGGTGCTGTTCCCGGCAAAGGCAAAGTGAGATGGGGGGGAAAGCGAGGAGAGAGATACACAACACACAATGGCTGGGCTAGGGGAAGTCGGAGTTTGGGGGAGATTGGCGGCAGCACAGTTCAGTACAGCACGGTAAAGAACAATTGAGTGGGAGGAGGGAGGAAGATGACATGACACGACGCGAGGTGTCCGTTGAGCCGTCCGCTGCACGTGATTTGACGTGAAGGGTGCGTGATATCAGCGAACTGGCGGAACCCTGGATACACTTAACCCGCGGTAATTTTACACCCTGAAAAAGGATAGCGAACGTTTGGCGTATCCTGAAGGTGTGAAATTCCTGGGGCGCGAAACGCCCCAGTATCTTCACAGGGGTTATCCGCCGAACCGAAAAAGGTGCCACGCTGTCGCAACCCGAGCCTGACGTAGCTAAGGGCGGGTCCCAATAGTTCTCGTTCTATTCATTTCGTGAAGAGTAACCCGATTTTAACAGGCGAAACCTTGTTTAAGGTTTCGCCAGGACACGTCTGAAATATTGATGTAGCCTGGGACACCTTTCCCATGCGTCGGGCCATGTACCAATTTCGGATTGCAAACGTAAAAAACACGGAAGGTGCAAGATTCGGGGACGAGGTTCCAAGTGTGTCGCGCCTGGATATCGCCCCGCTAGCGATGGCGAAAACCGGGCGATGTCGCGAATACATCTGCGCGCGCAACGCCATACCGCATCCGCAACCGAACGCGCCACTAGTTGGACCACTCTGGTTTCGCAACCTTAGGTTTCGCACACCGCGCAAAAGACAGCAGGCGGGGAAACCCATCCCGCTTTTGCAAACATTGACAGCGGCGAGCCAGGGGGGCCAATCAACAAGCGGGGGAATCTTTCCTGGCGGTCAGCGTGATGTGTGTATCAAGCATTCACCTTCGTTGCTGTTCCGAAATTTTCAGGCGCGTAGCATTTTATCGGGCTGTCGTCAGTTCCATCGGCAAGTACAGTAGGAGTATCTGTTTTGTGTGTGTATGTTTGTTTGTTTGTTTGTTTGTTTTTTTTTTTTTTGTTTTTTTTTTTTTTACGCCTTCTCGACGGACTTCTTGGCGGGGCCTCTTGTTTTCTGGGGCTTCTTGGGCGGGTGGGGGTGGGGAAACCAGAAACTCACCCCATATTCTGTCGGCACAGAGTGGTCCAACTAGTGGCGCGTTCGGTTGCGGATGCGGTATGGCGTTGCGCGGGCAGATGTATTCGCGACGTCGCCCGGTTTTCGTCATCGCCAGCGGGGCGGTATCCAGGCGCGACACACTTGGAACCTCGTCCCCGAATCTTGCACCTTCCGTGTTTTTTACGTTCGCAATCCGAAATTGGTACATGGCCCGACACATGGGAAAGGTGTCCCAGGTTACGTCAATATTTCAGACGTGTCCTGGCGAAACCTTAAACAAGGTTTCGCTTGTTAAAATCGGGTTACTCTTCACGAAATGAATAGAACGTGAATTATTGGGACCCGCTCTTAGGGTTTGCTTTGAAGTGATGCTGAGGTGTTACTGACTTGCTGCCGAGAAAATTCAAATTTCGGAGGGGAAGCGATTTTGCCGCAGGCTCAGAGCAGCTTGCGCTTTGGCGCAACAATTTCCGCCAGAGTTGCGCAGGGAAGCTCCAACCAGCAGAAATTTCCGCCCTCCCCTCCCTGAAATGCGCCGACGTGATTTGAATCAAGCCTACCCCACCTGCCGAATCTGATGCTGGCGCAAGTTGGCACGAACATGGGCCACCTTGCAGCAGGGGCAGGATGTACAGCCTGAGCCCGAGAGAGGAACGCCACTTTTTCGAGCCGCGGGGGCTTCTGTCGAATTGGTATTTCGCCCGCTTTCGCTGCTAGGAGCGAGGGATTCAGGGTGAGCACGTTGGTAACTTTTTTGTCGCAATAGGGGAAGGTTTGGGTGGCAGAGTTTGGATTGCATATGTAACCAGGGTTACGCTGTTTTGCACTGTGTCGAACAGAAGCCACCCCAAGTGCTGTTTCATTAGGTCAACCAACAGCTCACGAACATGACATTTGCAGCATGGAAATGGCTCGACACAGTGACAAACAGCCGCACCTCAGCCTCACAAAGCTCAACAACCAAAAGGCAGCTGCACACTGACATGGGACACACCATGTCTCACCCAAGCACTTGTAACTCTAACATGAGAGAGACACATCCACCCTGTACCACCGAGGCAACCATACAGCCATGTGAAAAAGCTCTTCCAAACACCGCATGCCCGGATGAACCAAGTTAGAGCGCGAATAACCCATGTGGCCGCGCTCTACTCACTGCCGAATGGACGTCGCATCCACTCCGCCGGGCCCAAGAGCCCGTCCATGGAGGCCCCCACGCCCTGTGCGTACAGCTCCCGTCGGCGCTCTCCCCCGGCAATCGACCAAGGTAGGATGCGGCCACGAGGGGGGGAGCGGGGCGGTCTAGCCGCGGGTGCGTTGAGGTCAGGGAGTGGAGACGCACGCTGAAGCCGGTTGACGACCACCGGGTTACGGATGTCAAACAATGCGAGGAGGTCTCGCGGCGAAACCGACGTGGCCCGCGCGTACCCAATCAACATTTCGCACGCCGCCCTCGCCGCGCGGCGGCGCGCACGGTCACCAGCATCGCCGAAGGGGCGGAATGCGTCAAGGGGCGGCGAGTTCCACGCGTCGCGCCGTGCCGGCGACGACGGCTCGTCGGCAAGCGGATCATCGTCCGCCTCGGCGCACGTGGGCTGCGCGTCGTCGATGGCAACGAAGTCGGCCGCCGACATAGCGCTCGGCCCGAGCTCAAGGGCAGCGATTTGGAGGCCGACGCCCTCGATGACGTCGTCGAGGGTCTCATCGTCGTCGAGGTCGCTGAACGGGCTGTCCGTCCCCTCGTCGCGCTCGTCATCGGGGAGGTCGTCGCATGGGAGCGGGGGGGCGGGCACGTGCTCAAGGTCTGCCACCCACTCATCGGGGAGGCAACCGGTGCGCCACCAGCACCGTTGAATGGTGTGCGCGCCGACGCCGGACCATGCCTCCCACACCCACTCCACGATGTCCCGCATGCTCGGGCGGAATCGGACCAGGGCGCTCGCGGCTCCCCTCGCGCCCCACCGTCCGGTGAGCTCCTCGAGCCACCTGGAGCGATACCGCGCCTTAACCATGGCGATGATGCCTTGGTCTAGGGGCTGCGTAAAGCATGTGGTGTTGGGGGGGAGATACACGAGGCGGAGGTTGGAGAGGGCGCGGGTGCGGAAACCGAAAAGATCTTCGGTTATGACTTCGGGGGAGAGAAGATTGTGGCTCGACGCGTTGTCCACGAGTACGAAGACGTGGCGGCCTTCGGCAAACATTGCAGCGTTGAGCTGCTCCATGAACGCCGTGAACAGCTGCGGAGAGGAAGAACATTAACGGGGGTGGGGCAGGTTGGGAAGAGAGCACACGGTGAGACGCGTGCACGTTGTATGTGGCATAAACGTGTCACTATCGTGCATACGCCAATGTTTCATAGCTGCAACTGGGAAAAGTTTTTTTACACTGCGGCGGGCTCACCTTAGACGTCATCCATCCGCGCTCGTTGTGGCGCCAGTAGCAGTAGGGGTTGGGGTCGTAATCGGGCCGAAAGTCATGCGGGCGGCGAGACTTGGAGATTATAAGAGGGCGCCATATGGTCGAGCCGTCCGCATTGCACAGGAACGCGACGGTGAGCCGCTCCTTTGCCACCTTCCGCCCTCCCCACCGTCGACGTCCCCACGTCTTCCGAGGTAGTGCCGAGACAAACAGAGCTGTTTCATCGAAGTTGAGAACGTCGCGTGGGCGGACGCCGACGTGACTTAAAAATGCTGGCAGCTGCACTTTGCTTGTCATAACCGCGCCAAGGTCCTGATCCGCCGCTTCCCCTGACTGTGTGAGGCATCGGATGTTCAGCCGCCGCAAGGTGCGCCGAACCCATCCAATAGATACAAGGAAGGTGTCGGGCTTCCCCAAGGCACATGCGAACATCATCGCTTGCGCCTGAATTGTCTTGAGCGTCAGTGGGATTCCCGCGGGTCCTGCGCTGTCCACCCAACGTAGGATCAAAGCCTCGACGTCGGGGTGTCGTCCTCCGCGGATGCGACGGTCGCATGCAAGCGCATCTTCTCTGAACCAACGAACTTCGTCGCGGAGGACTTTCCCGACGGTAGAGCGGTCGGGCTTGAATCCGTACCGACTGAAGCACCATCGAGCCAAATCTTCCTGGCGAAGATGAGGGTAGTCTGCGTGGTGCTTGCAAATCGCGCGCTTCACCTCCAGGGGGAGCTGAGCTCGGCGATGAACTCGAGGCATGGTGGTTCTCGATGCAAACTACGTGGTTGATGTGCAGGGGAAGTTTGAGCTCGTTATTCATAGTGTTGGGCCACCTCTAGTGTTATCGTGTGGGGTGGTATGCTAGGCCGTGTTTGTGACATGTGATTTAGCCGTTGCCTTACCTGTACGTTTGGCTGTAGCCGTCGAGTAAGTGTTGCAAAGCGATTTTATCAGGCGTGTATAGGTTGAAATAGTTACTTAGTTCTCTTCGCGGGCCTCACTCAAGTTTGCATTGTCGAGTGTGAACAGGGGTTGGCTAATTTCCGCTGCATGAGGGTCAGAATTCGCGGTGCGCAGCTTGTTCCCCTTGCCAACGTGTCGTACGCGACTCGGCGAAAATAACGAGAGGCCTTTGAGGCCCTGGCGAAATGTCACTGTTCACGGGGAAAGTTGAGTTTGGTGGTGGGGCCCGTTCTCTCTTTCCGGTGTTTACCACTTCGAGGATGTAAGCGATGACGGGTTTTCGGAACACCGTCGCTTTGAAGGCTCGATTTCACTAGTCGTGCGGCAAAGATAAGTGTGCAGTTGTTTCGACGGAATAAGGCTCTAGTTGAGTCAGTTGCCTAGGGGTCATGCCATGCTGAGTCATCGAGGCGTTTCCCATTTGTGGTGTTCCGTTGGTTTCCATTGCCCTCGTGTCGTTCGCGGCTTCGCGAAAAATGCGAAA